TTAGACAAACCCCATTATAGTTTTCCTTTGTGGCATCATCGGGACGGGAAATTCATTCTCTCTCGCGATTTCATCGACGAAAAGAGTAACCCTTTGCGACCAGTGAATATTACGCGTCCGACTTAGATTTTGTGAGCACGTTCATCTATCATCCCGTCGACCGCGGATTCGTTATTGAACCTAGGATCATTGTCATTAGTTTCTCGAGTACCTAACTATCTAATTACCACGGTTACTTGTCCGGTTCTATAATAATCGTATTTGCACTAGTCAATGTCTTCTCTATTGCATAACTACAACGTGTAACCCAAACGAAGATTCGTTTCACGCCCCTAACCTAACATATATGTCGGGTTTACATTAGAATTAGGAGTAGGAGTCGCAGCAAACGTTACTTTGTGCTTCAAAATATATTCTACGTTTAACAAAGAGTTACCCCGTTGACCGTGGATTCGTTATTGAACCTAAGAATATTGTCTTTAATATCTCGAGTGTCTAATCTCCATGGCATTTGTCAAACTTTATAAAAATCAATATTTATACCAGTAAATGCAATCTCCATTGCACAACAACGATGGCTAGTCCGAATGAAGATTCGTTACACGCCCCGAAACCTAACGCTAACCCGACATATATGTAGCAGATCGAATAATGAGACTACAAGTAGGTGTAGTTGTTAATGTATTTAAAAAAGTCCTAGTCGCGAAACGGTGTGTATAAAGTCGTTTGGTCACAGTTTATAATGAATCGTTTGCAATCGCGTCCGTTTATTTATAATAGTCAGGCGAACCTGTGACCTAACGGTCTTGATACTCCGAAGCAAAACAACAACATGATTTGAATCGAATTCTAACTCTTGTGCCGCTACATATATATACGGGATTACGGATTTGAAGGTTATGTTCCAAATAATCGGACTGAAATTTACGCAACGATACATGTACTCGTACTATAATCAAAACGTGCTTACGTGTGTGTGTGTGCGTGCGTGCGTGCGTGCGTGCGTGCATGCGTGTGTGTGTGTGTGTGTGTCGCGTATAAGTAAGAGTAGTTATGTTACTGTAGTGTTTTTGGTGGGTGCTTATGACGCACTGTCAGTGCAAAAACTAAGAGTAGCTTCAAAATATTGCCAAACAAAATTTCAATCGCCTTACAGATTCCAAAGGATTGACCACTGATCGGAAGAATACATTAGCACAATTTTATTATACTACTTCCGAACGAACGCGACCCGAAGTTATACAATCTGTTTTGTCCAAGGAGCGTAATTTTTCAACTCCTTGTATGTGTATTATGAATAATTTCGAAATTCTATGATTGGGATAGGTCAGGCGTTTATCGTACGCATATGGAAGATGTAATCCTTCAAGATTTCCGAGGATAGTGCACTCTGGATGTTATCGCAACTCATATTCCAGCACAACCACGTGCCTCATTGTTTAGATAAATGTTTTAAAATAAAGATGTTTCTATTTCAAAGAACTGAAAAAGTGCGGGACAAGCTGGATGTTCTCTATCACTAACATGTAAATAAAATGTTTTAAACAAATGCAATTACATAATCTTAATAATACGATATACACATACAGGTATTTAAGATTCTAAAAGGTTTGAATTCATAATGAATCATCTAAATTTACGTGTAACGTTGATTTCTATTCTTTATTGATTAATGATATTCTGTGTAGAACTTTGTTGATTTAACGCAAATTTTTACGCAAATGCATACACATTACGTTAAAATTGTATGATTTTTACAAGTTTTTGTCACAGTAACTGTCACAGTAATTTAAATTCATTTACGTTCAACCAAAGACAATTGCAGGAACTGTAGAAATATATTTTATGATTTTCCTAGTTAATATTTGCATTTAGAATCGTTTGGAGAAAAATAACTGATGTTCTGATTCTTTTACTTGAGCGCATCATTTATTATATATCGCTTCAATCGATAACAAGATATTATAGAGAGCATCGATTAATCTTGATTCGCCTACTTTTTGCAGAAATATAAATAGAATACCATACTCGAAAAGAAGAATTCGTACTCTTGAAAAGCCAACAAAATGACTTAAACATGATGTTCTTTTCAGCTAAAACATCCTTGATTTTATCTTCGGACGAGAGAAAGTTAGCGACTATTAAATTATGACTATGAGAGAGAGAGAGAGACAGAGAGACAGAGAGACAGAGAGACAGACAGACAGACAGACAGACAAACAGAGAGACAGAGAGACAGACAGACAGAGAGACAGACAGACAGAGAGACAGACAGACAGACAGAGAGATACGTAAGTAAACAAATGTGGGAAATGCGTGTGTGAACTGTGATTTGTCCAACATGTTACGTATCCTTGTAACTATCTGTCTTTTTTGTTGTGGTTAAACTATTGAAGTAATTTATCCGAGATGTAGGCACTTCGACAGGGTTATAGAACGAATTCATTTCATTTGATACAGGTTTGTGAACAAAATGTAAGAAAGATTATTTCCGTGTTCGTCCGAATTGAAGGTTTGCAAATGATACTTTTAGAAACGACACTTGCATTGTCGCTTTCGCTGGGCATCGGTGAGGTCCTCAGAGGTCTTCGCTTTGACATGAAAAAAGTTGACGTTAACCAACGAGGTATCTTCAAGTTCTATTCAAAACATATAAATTAACCTCGTGGTTCTGAATTTTTTTTTCAATGCCAAAAGTCTCAGCGTGGCGTATGATATACGTTTCTTGGTATTTTACAATTAGTGCGATTAAATGTATAATATATTCTCTATTCTGCGCGACGCATACTTCCCTATTTCTTCAACTATTCTTTTATCGACAGTCTCGACACGACATACAGTATATCTTAACAACTTTCGCCAACTTGCAGTCCGTGTGCGACGTTCAATTAGCGATTTAATCTCATCCAGTCTGTTCTTGTAGATAATTCAACTACGATTTAGTGCGATACTTCCCCGATGCTGAGCAAGTATCTGTCGATCAGAGCAAGTATCTGCTGACAGTATCTCAACAAGCTTATCCAATTTAAAAAACTAATTAGCCTTCGTCAACTCCAAGTCCGACCCAATCTTGGAGTATCGACAATTGCTGTTTATATTCCAAGATTTTCAAATCGCTGTCTATAAATTATAAATAACTACGATGAAAAACCATTTGTGAATGAATATAAGAGATTCGAATTCTATGAAAAAAATGTTGAAGCTAACTTTTGTAATAATGCATTGACTGAATATATATATTATAAATATCGAATTATAAACTCACGAAATACAGAATCGATTATAAAGCACAGAGAAAGAAGTCTAACGAATTTAGCGTGTATTGCTGCAAAAGCAATATGAAAATTAGCAATTAGAAACACATTTGTTCCGTTCTTACATACAGCAGGATGTGTACGTGTAGAAATACCCAAATTGCCTTTGAAAGTATTTCTGGCAAGTGGACACTATGCGAGAGAGACTGGCAGCCAGCGAAGATAGTGTTGCAGGTTCCTCTCAAGCAGATACGAACTAATCTTATTATCGGTGAGCTGCTTCTAGAATATGAATCAGTTTCATATTATGACCGTATTCTCATAGGAGCATCCATTCGAGAATGCTGAATAGATGCTGCAGTTTTATGACACGGTTACATTCCCGGCGCGCACGCACGCACGCACGCACGCACGCACTCACGCACACAACAACAAAACAGGTTAATTTTTCAGGATGGGATATCGTATTATTTTATCCAAAATAAATTAACATTCAGTAAAACAATTTCAACGAGATCCATTACTATTATTTCCACGTCGTGAAAAGTTGTAGAAACTGTGGAAAATCGGAACATGTTCTTATACATCTTCGGCCACTTTAATTCAGTCCTTAACTACATTTGTGCACATATGTATTTTTAATACACGTTCAAAACCAATTTTTTGGTTGAATGAGCAAAAAGATCAACGATTAAGTTAGCTAATTAAAATCGAAGAAACGAAGTTGAAGTTTTGGCCCTTGCGACTTTGCGAATCCAGCAACGACATGTTATATAACACATGACTAGAAGCGACAGTTTCAAACGTAAAACACAGAAATTGGGCATACACGAATCTCAAATTGATACAGTTCTGAGAATTCGGGCGGATAACAAACTCTTGGTAAACGTTTTCCGTCTATCTAAAAGTAAAGCTCTGAAAACTATTCTCAAATACGCAATTTGAGAATATTTTTGAGAGATCAAATGTCGTATCTTACAAAGCCTTCAAACGGACATCTATCTTAAAGGTGAAAGTCAGCCACAATCTCAAGGAAAATTTCAAGAAAAACTAGCTACAATCAAATGTCGCTCGTTATCTATGAGCTGTTGTTAGAAATACGATATTAAACTTGATTTCCTTTATCTGTTTGTCTATTTTGTTATTTATAATTTGCAAAAATAAACATGAAGTTCTAGTATTGCCCCCGTTATAAAGATCAACAAAATAATTGGACGCATTCTATTGCAAAAAAGCAAAAAATAGGTAACAATTGGGATTCTATTATATTGAGGTCCCGGAGTACTCCTAGTAACACGTTGACTGCCACGACACCCGTATTCGGATGTCAGCAAAGTTTCTGGTTAGGCCGCGTAACCCATATTCGGGTGTCGCTTATTCGACTACTTGCGAAGGATCGTCATAGGTATTTGAAAAGATATTCCATAATAATAAAACTGTTGAATTGTTATAAAATAAAAATACGAAAATGGTTTATTAAAAAAGTTATTTAGAATGTAAAACTTTAAAGCATTCTATATATAACTGAGGTTGGTCGGGACAATTTGGACAATAAGTTGTTGTTTTCTTCAAATTCTTTTGTGCCTTTGTTCGGTCCATTCGACGTCTTTTATTTGCATAACATAGTTTGCACGCGCGTCCAATGCTTCTTCCGGAATCATTTTTCCGAATGGCGATATTATGCTGACTCCGTCGAAGACAAGGATTTTTTGTATTTTCAGACAACCTTCATAATTTTGCAACGAATAATTGTCTAAATATTCTAATATTTATATTTTTCCTTATTGCAATTGTCGTAAACCGTCAAAGCGTTTACAACAGAAATTCCCAGAAGGAATTGAATGCCAAGTTTTCTGTACCATTTGATTCCTTTCCTAATTGTGGTGGCATAAGAAACCATTTGATCGGAATAATCTATACCACACTTTCCTTCGTTATATTCAACAACAGCTAGTGATTTTAATGTTGCGAACAAATGAAACGAAAGATCTTTCTTGAGACCACCGCTTGAGCGACTCGCATTACTAAAATATCGATGGGAGCACCTAGCAGAGAACGTTTGATACTACTGTACGCGTGGAGATTGGAGACTACTGACGGAGATTTCTCTGAAAACACGCGTGGCAGTCAACGTATTAAGCGTTAGGTAGGCCATCGCGGGGTTTTAGTCGGTAAATTCTGCTTGCCAGAAGAGCGACGGAGTATCCATGAGAATTTCCCCAGGTATAAAAAGAAAGATTCTCATGTCTAAAGAACACAACATACAACAGAATAAAAAAACAGGTAAACAAATTAAAACCAAACAAAACTACATAAAACTGTCACACACGTCCTTACTACTCCAATTCGGAAGACGGTTGCAATGTTTGATAATTTGAGAAGCACAACTTAGATACAGCACGAGGCTTTTACCCAAAGGATCGGCGAAATACCTAAATGCACCGAACCCTCGTTTTTTCTATACCATATAAAAAAGATAGGAGTTAGATTTGGGTTAGACCATTATTTGGTCGCAGCGCCGTAAGGCTGATTATATGCTGCTACGGACGCACAATTATAGACAGAATCCACTGGGACCGATAGCTTTTTGCAAATATCTCGGAAACTATAGTCGACTGTCATTCTATCTGTAGAAAAACGTTGTACAAAACATTGAACTAGACAACATATTTCAAAATCATCGAAATTGGAAAGGGGGTAGCTTTGGTACAACTTTCGCTCAAACCTTTATAATTCACGACATAATTACTTGTAAGCGTTGAGTTGAACACATCGACTTTACGATGCGAGAAGCGAGAAGCAAAAGTATACAGACTAATTAGAAGTAAATTACGATTGATTAGAAATTATTTGTTGATAAAAATTATCTATATTGAAGGTCGTGCGTTATAATCGTTCATTAGAACGAACGAATTTTCCAATTGTTGCTTAGAATCGGAATGCGCAGGTTTTAAAAGGAATAGGCAATTACTTCATAAGAAAAAAGAAATTGTTTATAGTTGGGGTGAATGGATTACATTTGAACCATTGGATATCTTTGAACGATTAAGACATCGGGTTGAATATGGTTTTCATCGATTGAAGTCAATACGTGATCTTGAGAAGAAACTTGGCCGTAATGTAGAATGCGAGCACTGGTCTGTTTACAATAAATAGGTAGGTAGGAAGGAAGAAAGAAAGAAAGAAAGAAGGAAAGAAAGAGAAAAGGATATAAGATATCTAATGATGGATGTGAAATTTTTACGATACTAGATTCTATTTTCCCTGCATTTGACTGCGGAATATAAGCAGATTACAAATAGAGTGAGTTGGAAAACTAATGGAACTTTAATATCCTTTTCCAGGAGAACGGTTGACTCGCGATCCATGTATCTTGTATGACTTTTGTTCCTTGTGACGAGTAGTATATGACGCAATAAAAAAGATTGATCTTACAAATCATACTCAAGGTCAAAATTACGATCCACTTTTTTAATTGATTTCCACCGATCCAGAAAGTAAACACCTTTCACCGAAACATAACAAATAATTTTTGACACTGTGTACGTACAGACTAAACGTCATAAAGACTATGGCTTCGAAGAATTGATCAGCCGATCAAAAGATTCCAAGTCTTACTAACAAAGCCTTAATACGTCCGAAAATAGGTTACTGCACCATATGCGGTAAGCTGCATCGTATATAATTCGGCATCATCAACTTCATATTTTAAACCGTGTTCATAACGTAGGAGCCAGAATAGCAACAGGGGCATATCGAACTAGCACAGTCTATTCGAAGTCAATCCCGAAGAAAACTAATCACCCTCTCTTACGCGATCACAATGTACACAACAAGGTGTACAAAATATTATAGAGAATCGCCAATTACATCAGAAAACTCTCGAGCAACCAAAGCATTTCTCATACGAGTTCAAGAATAACTAAACGAAAGTAATATTACATTACCATGGAAATGACCAATCCAATGCATACAATAAAGACATAAAAGAGAAACGATTTGTAACGAAAAAAATTAAAATACGAGTGAAACAACTTATGCCTAAATTAACATACGTTTTTACATAAAATCGGAAGAGATATACACGAAGTAAGTTCGATTGTAACTATCACAAGAAACAAAACAAGTACAAATGACCTCTATGTATAGCACATTTACACTTTATCGAAAAAACAAAACCCCGAATTTTGTTATAACTCTAACGCTAACATCACCCTCGAATATCTAATTTGTTATTGTCTCAAATTTGAAAGCACGATATATAACTTAAAGATACCCAATGATATGCAACATATGCGCATAAACATAAGTAGTAAAGCACAATGTAAAGGATTCCAAGTTTCTTAACAAAAATTCATCTCTTGCGTCAACTATAAAGTTATACAAAACCGTACTGATCTACTCATTTTAGTACATATAAACAGTATTACAAACGTAAGTGTATCTCCATATAAATAATATTATTGTCGCTTAATTATTTGCGAGGTACATGTGAATGTAGTTACTAATATATTAACAGGAGATGTGACGCTAAACAATAAATAAAAAAAGGATTTGATCACACTAAAATTACAAAAACGAAAAGAAAAAGAATCGTACGAAACTGTGACTTTACTTAATGTCGTTTATTATGGCTTAATTATTATTTATTTATAGAATAAATATTCTTAAGATTCATAATGTATACGTTTAGAACGCGTACATTGTATCACAGTTGATCGTTAAATTTCTTAATAAAGCAAATGTTTATGTGCAAAATTTTTGGATTTCTTTTATGAAAATTATGTAGTTAAAGATCGCATAATTTTAAACTTCGTGCACTCTTTTGCATAAAATTATTTTCTTTCAATGAAGATGATCTCGAAAGAGCCGTATCGAGGAGGAAAAGGTTTCCGACATATACGCAATATAAAAAATTCATACAATTGCAGGGAAACTCTGCTAATAGAATGTTGACATGATTATGTGAAAAAAGGGGCGCTATATCGAGGTCTATATCAAGGCTTATATAGAAAAGCATTGCAATTGAACGAGACGAGTAAGAGAAGATTACAGCTTTAAAGCATCGTTACTTATCAAAATTTAAGTCAGGTTACGGCATTGGTGGACTGAATATGTCAGGTAAAAGTACTATCGTCAAATCGATCTGCTATTGCAATCAGTAAAACAGGATTTATAGAACTAATAACGAGATAAAATTATCTGTTCAGATAATATATACAAGTAATATAGACGAAATCAGCTTATTACGCGAATAATTTTTCTAGAGACAGATAAGAAAACCCTTAAGAAAATGATTGAAACGTATATAATAATGCGCAATAAATTATTATTTTTCGTATGAAACGAAGTTACAATTTCATTTGTTCGGAAAACTCGATATTTTCCAAGTTTTCTATAGCTCCATTCCAATTAGTTCGAATAGTGCACGTGTTTTTATTATACTTATCGAGAAAAACAACCTAACCCCAATACTTCATAATTGAATATGTAATTTTTAATATTTATGTTCATACGTCAATCTTTGCAATGCCGTCGTTTCATTGAGTTTCCTTGCTGTTCTCGTTCCTTCGAGATAAAAGGTTCAATCGAATGAAATTGTTTTGAGAAAGAATTCGAAGGAATCACAACGTTTTTCTTATTTCGTATTAAGATGAAACCATTTATTTCAAAAGCTTCCTATTTCGCACAATCATCGGTTACAAACCACGATATAACTTATAGAACTATATAACTACATGAGTTTAGAAAACACATAGAAAGTATTCGACTTTGACCAAGTACTACTAATTACTATTGACAAATTACTTTTAATTAACTTTCGCTTCTGCATCATTTAATTGTATATTTTTCCAAAATATACAATTTTTAAGGTAATAAATGATAAGTGTGTCAGAGTCATAGTATTTCTTAGAATAATTTATTGCAAAATACCTTTATGCTGTAAAATTTTACGCTAATGAACGCAAATACTTTCTTCAACGATACGAGAAATAAAATTAGAGCTACATAATATCAAGAAAATTGAGAAGCCATGAAATTCGCGCAAAGGCAAACTTAAGGAATATTGAAAAATTGAAATCGTTTCTTACTTTCAGCAGAAGTAGCACAGTTTTTAACTTTTCTTGAATCGACCACTGTCGCTATTAGTGCCACTAAACGTATGTAACTCGAAGAAAAGCAGAGCGAAGAAGTTGAAAGAAAAGAAAGAACAAGAGGAACAAACCGAAACCACGCAAGTTCTCCACGTGACTGACGAAACTACGTACGTATACTTGGTCGACAGGCAAAGCCAAACAGAACGCCAGCCAACGCGCAAGTCTTACAGACTTGTAGGTCATAGAAGAACTTATTCTCGTCTATTTTTGCAACAGACTTCGAATCGAATCGAAGAGATAAAAAATAAACGAAGAAAATGTTTCTGTGAATTAGGGCTGAATATAGATACTTATTAATTATTATAAGATACTTATCTTGGAGGATATAATCAGAGA